TCTTTCTTTTCGGTTTGCGGGGGTCACTGGTGCCCATACCCAGCAGTCACTGTGCAAAAGATGGGGTACACCCTGGACAGGTCTCCAGTCCATCACAGGGACACATAAAGACAAACGAGACAAACAACCATTCACTCTCACTCACATAGGGACAGTTTAGAGTCACCAATCAGCCTGACATGCATGTTTTTGATCTGTGGGAAGAAACCGGAGTACCTGGAGAAAACCCACACATGCATGGAGAGAACATGCAAATGCCACATGTTCTGGACTGAAGATTGACCACCCCCAATAAATCCTTTGAGAAAACTATTACTTTAAGCAATATACAGAAAAGTAAGCATGTCCACCATTGGCCAAACAATGCATTTAGGCCTCTCAAAAATGTTGCTCTAATTATGAATTTTTCCATTAATCCATGACATAAAAGAAGTGCACCAGAGGTCTAATCAAGTGCAAACAGCATGACTGCTGTAGTCCTCTGAAGCCGAACAGGTAGTGGTTTTGTCTTTCATGTGGGAGTATGAGGTGTGAGGCCCAACTTGTGCATTGTGAGTTTTTCTTGTTATTTTACTCAAACTGAAATATTTTAGCTTTGTGTAGACAGCAACAGTAATATTTTAGTTCACTGACAGTTTTCTACCATTATTCACCTACAAAGTGATCACATAAAACTCTTTAATGACCATGGCAGTATACTTGTTTACACTTTTCCATGGCAACATCTGAGCACTGCTTATGTCTCTCTGTGGTCGTGATTAATTTTAGTTTTGGACTTTGTTCTTGGGCGGCACGGTGGTGCAAGTGGTAGAGCTGCTGCCGCTCAGCGAGCAGGTCGCCCTGGTTCAAACCCTGGTCTGGAGACCTTTCTGGGTGGAGTTTGCATGTTCTCTCCGTGCATGCGTGGGTTTTCTCCCACAGATCAAAAACATGCATGTTAGGCTGAGTGGTAACTCTAAATTGTCCCTAGATGTGAGTGAGGGTGTGAATGGTTGTTTGTCTCGTTTGCCTCTATGTGTTCCTGTGATAGACTGGAGACCTGTCCAGGGTGTTCTCCACCTCTCACACAGTGATGGTTGGACATGGGCTGCAGTGACCCCCACAACCCAAAAAGGAAGAAGTGGGTAAAAGATAATGGATGGATGAATGGACTTCTTTATTGGGTTTGGATGCATGTCAACTGTTTAGCAACCTATTATGATAGTGTAAAGGGTTTTACCGGTATATTTTAGTAAATCAATTAAAAAGAATATGTTTTTGTTGTAAATCACATGACTGCATGACCAATAAGCTGAATCAAGCACTTTGAAAAATGCAATGAATCAGAACGAACACAAGTTCGCACGAACACAAACACGAACGTTCAATTTTCATTTTGTTTTACAACAGTACACATGACTGTTTCTTCAGGGACTCTGTCCTTGTATGAGTGAGAGTGTGAATGGTTGTTTGTCTCATTTGTCTCTATGTGTCCCTGTGATGGACTGGAGACCTGCAGGACGCACCCCACCTCTCGCACAGTGACTGCTGGATATGGGCACCAGTGACCCCCACGACTTGAAAAGGAAGACGTGGATAAAGATAGTAGATGGATGGATGGATGAAAGATGTCTATTTCCTTATCTGACTTGTTTACTACATAAAATAAAATGCACTGGGAGTTGTTAAATTCTAAACGATTACAGCTTTTCCTTTGAACTGAACCGTCAACTTCCTGTTCACATGAACTGAAACATTACGTCATTGTTCAGCTGGTCGTCAGACCACAGGACATGTCAGACCTGAGTCTCATCGATCTGTCTGACTGCACCTTCACCCTCCATACCAAACAGGATACCACATACGTGCTGTCGCTTCTCTTCCCTTTTGTTCTCAGTCTTTTCTTCTCTTTTTCTTGCTCTTTCACACACATTAGGGCTGTCTTTAACACAGCAGGTTTGGGACTCCTGTCTGCGTCAGCACCTCTGTGTCTGGGGTTATCTCAGACTTTGGTTTGCCCCACTTCGAGGAAGAAGAAGCAGTTCAGTTTCATCTTATGAGAAAGAGAGAGAGATGGACGCAGATGTAAAAGGGTGCAGCAAGAAGCTCCGGATTATTTCAGGTCTTTGGGAAGCGCAGTTCTTTTTAGCTTGAGCAAAGTTTAGATGCAATATTTATTCACCAGGTCAAGCTGCAGCTGGCATTTGTCTTTGTGCACCAGAGCATCACTCTGCAATACTTTTCTCCAGGCCCAGATTGATGTAGGAAATCTCTGCTTGAGTCATAGCTACACAACCTGTCATTGTTTCATGCCAGCATGCTGGGACATGACAGACCAGAAGGGGTGTGTGAGAAACTGTAATAATTTTTTTTGACCAGTTCTCTACTGGTACAGAATATTTTTAACGTGCTGAGGTCACTTACAGGAACAAGGATCTGCTGAGGAAAGAACCGTCATTTACACTTTTCGCACAAAGGTTCTGCTTTTCACTTTGAAATCAGGAGCAATTCATCAGATTGCTTGCTGAAGTTGCACTTCCAATTCGCCGTCACTGTAACTTTTCATTTTTAACAATCGTTCTGTCAATTAATTAAGAACACAAAGTGCATACACAGTTTACTACGCATTTATACATTTTTTTTATTTTTATTGTTGAACGTAAACAACAAACTGAGGCTTTGTTTTTATTGTTTGTTCCTGCAACCAATAAAGGTCAAAACCTTCTTTGTTATATTTAAAGACAACAGACAAGATTATTTTGAATACTTTTCTTCATTGACAGAAATATAAACAGATCTTTTGAAGCATTGCAAGTGCATCTGAACTTATTTTTGACCACATATTTTGTGAAAAAGTACATTTACTTATTATCAAAAGTATATCTGTTTATTACTGTTCTAATGCATTGTAGTATTGATGATGCTATTGATTAAAGCTGACTGTGCAAATCTGCAAAAAGCCCCTGTTAGAAACCAAGCAGCCTTTTGGCTTGATTTTTCAGAACACATCAAGCAAGACACAGGAGAGCGTCTGCTGCTCTTGTCACTGACAACAGGATGTGACATGAAAACAAATCTGGCTCTTACTGGAAGCTGCTTTTGATAGTATGAGAAAGAAAAATGAAAAAAGAACAAGAAAAAAACAACAACTTGGTAACTTATTTCAACAGCATACCCTCACCCACTTCCCCGCCCTCCCCCAGTATTGAACTCTGGCCCGTGTTTGTTCTTTTGTCTTACGTATAGACCTCATCTAGTGGTTTCCCCTTTCATCATGATAAGGGTGTGTGATAAGAACCATGAGTCATGCCTGTATCTTCATGGTCCAACTGTCGAAGGGAGACTGTGCATCAAAATGTATTTTCTGCCTCTCATCACTCAATCAACAACATTTTTTATCTTGTTAAATTTGACCACGAGGTTAGAGTTCAAAAAGAGAGAATATATATATATAT